GGGCCGCGCCTCGGCGGCGGCTGCCGGGGGCTCCTCGGGCCGCGGCCGCGCCCGGCGGAAACCCCGCCGCGGCTGCAGCAGCAGCAGCGCCAGCCTGCGGGGGAAACATGGGAACCGTCAGCACCGCCCACCCCAGCCGCCTGTGCCCTCCCTGACCCTCCCTGTCCCTTGCCGTGCCGGCGGCACCTGTGCGGGCGCGGACCCCCGGCGCGGGCCCAGCACCGCCACGCCATGTTGGCGCCTGCCCGAGCGCTTCCGGGGCAACCGGGCGACATCTTCCCGCCGATGGCGGGCGAGCCGCTCGGTCACCGCATGGCAAAGGGCGGGCGCGGCTCCCCGCGGCTTCTGGGCCGCTCCGCACGGCAGGTGGATGGGTGCTCGTACAGCTCCCGGTGCCGCCGCCGGGGCTCGGCGGGCAGCGCCGCCGGGTCGGAGCCTCCTCGGGGCCGCCATGTCGGGTGGGTGGTGCCTGCTCCGCCGCCATGATGAGCGTGGCAGCGCCTTCACCGCCGCGGCCCCCTTGGTGGGCAGGGCTAGCCCGTGAGGCCGGGGGTGCCGAGGTTTCACAGAATCAAGTATGCTGTGTTGGACGGGACCCACAAGGATCATCGAGTCTAACTGCTGGCTCCGCACAGGACCATCCCTAAGAATCCCACCTGAGTGTGTACCCCTGAGTGTTGTCCAAACGCTCCTTGAACTCTGTCAGGCGTGGTTATGTGGCCACTTCCTTGGGGAGCCTATTCCAGTGCCCAGCCACCCTCTGAATGAAGAACCTTTCTCTCTAATAGCCAACCTAAACCTGCCCTGACACAATTTCAGGCCATTCCCTCGGGTCCTGTCACCAGTCACCACTCAGTGCCTGCCCGTCCTCTTCCCCTCACGAGGAAGTTGCCATGAGGTCTCCTCCAGGCTGAACAGACCAAGTGTCCTCAGCCTCTTCTCATATGGCTTCTCAAGGCTCTTCTCCATCCTTGTGGCCCTCCTGTGGACACTCTGGAGTAGCTTAATATCATTTTAATATTGTGGTGCCCAAAACCCCTCAGGACTCGAGCTGAGGCAGTCTCTGAGCAGAGCAGACCAGAACAATCCGCACCAATGGTGATGCTCTGCCTGCTGACCCCCAGGACACAGTTGGCCCTCCGTGGTTGCCAGGGCACTGCTGATTCATATTCAACTTGCCACTGACAATGAGCCCCAGGTCCCTTTCTGTGACACTGCTTTCCAGGGTCTTGTTCCCCAGTTTGTAGGTACAAGTATATACATTGGGGTTGTCCCATCCCAGGTGCAGAATCCAGCACTTTCCTGTTTTAAGCCTCACAAAGCTGGTGATTGCCCAGCCCTCTGATTTATCAGGGACTCTCTGCAGGGCTGATTTATTGAACTGCCCTCTAGAAGCCTTATGGAATAGGCAGAGCTTGTTTCTTCCTAGCCTGCAGCAGCCCAGGAGGTGAGGTGGAGGCTGGAGCTGCTGCCTCAGCATTGCCTTGCTCCATGTGTGGGTCCACATCACCTTGCCACACCTCAGCACCTTCCCTCCCCAGGCTCCTCTGCCCTGCCCCACCTCACTTCACCCCACCCTACCCTACCTTACCTCACCTCACCTCACCTCACCACTGGGCTGCTCCAGCAAAGGGCTGCTGGGTGACCAGATTCCCACCCCACCAGCTCCTTCAGGTCTCTTCCCTGTATCTGTATCAAGAATAGTTTAGCCAGCAGGACCGGGGGAGTGATCATCTCCTGTACTTGGCATGGGTGAAGCCACACCCCGAGTTCTGCGTGCAGTTTTGGGCCCCTCACTTTAAAAAGGACATTGAGGTGCTGGAGCATGTCCAGAGAAGGGCACCAAGGTTTAGAGAGGTTTAGAACACTTCTCTGATGAGGAGTGGCTGAGGGAGCCGGGGTTTAGAACACTTCTCTGATGAGGAGTGGCTGAGGGAGCCAGGGCTGTTCAGTCTCCAGGAGCTCAGCAGGGACCTCCTTGCTCTGTACAACTCCCTGGCAGGAGGCTGTAGTGAGATGGGGCCAGCCTCCTCTGCCATGTCTGCAGTGAGAGGACCAGAGGAAATGGTTTTAAGCTGAGGCAGGAGAATCAGATTAAATATTAAAACATGTTTTTCCCTGTTCAGGGGGTTAGGCATCAAAACAGGTTGCCAGGGAGGTGATGGAGTCCCCATCCTGGAGGTGCTCAACAGATATCTGGACCTGGTGCTGGGTGATGTGGTTTAGTGGCTTAGGGGTACAGGAGCAGTGCTGGGTGGACAGTTGGACTGGATGATCTGAAAAGTCTCTTCCAACCTCAGTGATTCTATGATTCTGTAGTTACCCACACATGCCTGAGCAGGTGCTACAGTTGCCCCTGTGGTGCCCTTGCTGCCAGCCAGGTGCCTGCTCTCTGGCGCTGTGCTGCTCTTCCCAGCACCATCTCCATGCCAGCAAAGCTCTGCAGGGCTGGAGAGCTGTGTTAGCAGAGAACAGTACACTGTACACACCACCAGCCTCCTGAAACTAAATGGGAAAAGAAAAGAGGTGTTTGCTTTGAAAGTAGCTTGAAGTCTGAAGATATTGTGTGCCCCTTCCTGGTTGCCTGTTTTGCCTGTGGACATACTCATGGGACAGCAAAGCCACCTACACGATGCCAAACACATCTGGGCCACCAGGCTGAGTGCAGAGCTGCCAAAATCCAGCTGCAGAAAAACCAGAGGTTTATCTAAGGGCACACGTGGAGGACAAGAGGCAGCAGTCACATATGGCAGCAGTCACATATTGCAGCAGGAAAAGTTCTGCACGGGTGAGAGGAACACGCTCCACACGAGGGTGTTGTGCAAATTCCAGCTCTGGAAACTCCTCTGTTGTGACTGGATAAGGCTTGGGTGACCTGACTCAGCACTGAAACTCTGCTTTAGTGGGAGCTTGGCATCCGTGTGCCCCAAGTTATTTTGTAGTTCATTATGTGAAGGCAAAGTTAATAGCAAGATGAGAGTGATCTGCATATTATAATTGCAAGTAGTTATAAGACTGATCAGTTTATTAAGATGTTGTGACAACTTCGGGAGCAAAGTTACAAAGTCATATTCTTTGGAAGTGGTAGGAAATGAATTAACATTGTTCCTCTTTTTTTTTTTTCTTTTTTTATTTCCCCTAACTAGTAGTGAAAAGGTTTTGCCTTCTCACCCCAAGGTCAGACTCTGACGAGAAAAAACCTCTGTGAGCTGTGGTAGGAAATGCTCTAAATGGTTTAGTACCATATTTAAATTTGCATTTTATCTCTTTCTGATTGTGCTGGTGGCCATGGGTCAGCCTCAGAATTTGCATGAACTAAGTGATTAGTAGGTTCAAAGATGTATATTGCTGATGTTAGAAATGTATATATATAAATGAAAGCCAGTGCTGTAATCAATGCTCTTTCTCTGTTTTTCTATGTAACAAAATAAAAAAGAAGTAAAAGAGGTTTTTAACTTTCCATTTTAGACACTTTTACCACTCATTTTTGCTTCCAAAGACCTTATCAGGAGTAATTTGTTTATTTAAGTGACTTCAATATTTTTCTTTGCTAACCCTTCCTGTGCTGTGTTCAAACCTCATACATTTTGGCTGTGCTGTTTTTAATGTTGTTACAGTGATCCTTTTTGCACCCCTGGGGTTTGTTTTTATCACATTACAGCTCTTATTTGCATATAGCCTATATGTGTACTTTGTGAGGGAAGATGCTCTGGACTTTGTGTGTTTATTCCTTTTTGGTTTATTGTCATTCTCCTTTGGACAGTTGCAGTGCATATTTGCTATCAGCTGTGCCATCACCTCAAACTTATAAACATGGCACTGTGTGACAGCTGGTACAATCAGGTCCTGTGGGGCAGGGTGTCCATGGGATGGGCTGAAAGGGGATGGATGTGCTGTTGGAATAAGGTATGATCTGGACAGTCCTATGGGGTTTGTGTGGTAGAACCAGGGTCAGGATGGGAGATGAGGGAGGAGGGCAAAGAGGGGAGGAAGTGCAGCAGTAAATGGCTGCAGAGCTGGCCCAGGCTGCCGGTCTCCTTCAGCCATGAGCCGGGGAGCTCTGTCCTGCCTTGGGCCATGGCTGCAGTCACAAACACTTTGGGTTGTTGATGTCATCCACTGCACAGGGGTCCAGCTGCATATTTCATCTTTAGGATGCATCCTGAAACAAATGCATTAAAAATTTCAGGTAAACCAGAAATGGAAGTTGTAGCAATGTTTCTGCAGTGCTTTGCACTCTGATGGTGCTTGGGCAGCTCAGTGGCCCTGAAAAAGCAAATTATATGCCAGGTTAAACTGAGTATATTTGGTACTAATTAACATTATTTCCCGGTAATTTTCCCTTTCAACATGCCAGATCTTTGTATAACAGTTGGACAGAGCTTTGGCCCTGGGTCCTTGATTTTTAGAATGGGACAAAGGTCCTGAAGAGTACAAAACTTTTGTTTGAGTGATCAAACAGGTCCTCACAAAGTGCTGACACTACTATCTTGCAGGAAGGTCGAGAAAACGGATTAGAAACATACCATAAACGTGAGTATCACAATTTATCTTGCTTTAAATGTGTATTGGTAGATATGGTAATTGGGAAATGAACAATTTACTAAAGCATTTGATAGTTTTCATTTTTAAATGCATTTTGAATTAGCAAACAAGTAACAAATGGATGAAACATTGTAAATTAAAATTGGAGAATTCTTTGGTTGTCTCCTGTGGTTTTGCTCTGCTTGCATTATTTTGTGGTAAATGTGAACAATAATAAAAGTTTTCCTAAGGAAAAAAAAGGTATAGAATATTCAATTATTCCAGTTACTCGATGGGATTTAGATTCCATCTCTACAGTTCCCTTGTGTGATACATTATGTTGTAGGTAGGCATGTTTTTGCAAAGGTCAGGCTTGTGTAAAGGTAATGCCATACACTGTGTGTGTATGAACTCTTTCAACAGGTTTCCTATACCAGAAATTGTGGGGAACATCTTTGAAGAAAACTTCTGTCACAATGGCATCATCGTGTCTACAGATCTGTGCATTGCTGCTGGCTTTAGCAGGATTCACTGCATCACTTGTTACTACCATGTCCAACAGTTGGAAAGTTTTGGACTCCACAACAGAGCTGGTTCCTGCAGACTGGGTTTCTGAAGGTCTTTGGATGGACTGTGCAGCAACTGCTGTTGGATCAGTTCAGTGCAAGAGGTTTCTCTACATGCTGAGTACAGACCGTAAGTGAACTCAGTGGTCTTGGCATTTGTTCATCAAATCCAAGCATGGGGTTTTGTTCCTTCTTTCTGGGCAGGGTGTTAGCAGGCTGGGGGGCACAGAGTGCAGTTGTCCCAGAGAGCACTGCAGTTCTCTGTGCTTTATAGTTTTCTGTGCTTTATTTCCATTTGCCTTTTCTCCATCAGTGTCTCTCACTGAATTAAAAAACTTCCAGCTTTCAATTTTGTTTCTCAGTGTGGTGTGCTTGCCCTGTGTATACAAAATAATGAGAAGGGTTAGGGCAAGATAAAATCCCTGTATGCCAAAACCTGTCTCTGCTATGATGACATACCAAAGAAAGCATTGCAGCCAAAATTCAGCCTAAGGATTGCAGGGGTGCACATGTGTGTGCTTTAGGTGGTGGCACAATGTCACCTGTGTCCCTACATCTTTGTGCTGGGATATCAGGGAGCAGCCATGCACTGGAGGTGTCAGAACAGCCCAGTATGGGCTGTATGTCTGGTATGGCCAAATCCAGTTTAAAGGGCCACCATGAAACCAGTGTTTCACCCTGCAGTTCAGCTCACTCACTGCTGTGGCTTTGCTGCCCTCTCTGGTGTGTTGACATAGAGGTGTGGGTGATATACACTAAATCTGAGAATTTTTTAAAAATAGTTTTGGAAGAAATAGCATCTTTTCATTCAGCCTAGTTTTTCAATACAAGCAGATCATAGTTCCATGAGCACTGGTGTTTGTTTGTGATTTGCTGTGAGACAGCAATTATTAGATATTCCAGAACTGATTTGATACTTTGTGCTAAACCTTTGTACCTGGGTATTTTTTCTGGAATTTCTCAGAGGTGGTGAGCTTAGACTAAAACACATCTGTGCAATAGATGCTTCTGTGTTTTCTAGGGTCAACGATGCCAGCAGGGTAATTTATCTGCAGCTAGAAAGGGAAGAAATGTCTCAGTAGGGGCTGAAGGTATTAGCTTGAATCATTCTGGATTTTAAAAGTATCTTTCTGTAAACACTGTCTTTATGGTAAAGGACTAGGAAGGATTGACATTGAAGTTCTTTCCTCAGCAGACTGAGTGTAGAAACAGTAACACTGTAGCTCTTGGAAATAGTATTTTGTTAAGCTTTCTGTCTTGAAAAGTACCTTGCATTTATTGTTTTACAACTTTCAGTTTTGTGCAGTCACTTTATGAGTGCTGTTAATATCATTTCTTCAAGTCTTCCTTGCTTTATAGGTTCCTGATTGCTGTCATTGCTATTTGTCTGGACTCTTCCAGCAGTTTTATTCTGAACATGCAGAGCTTAAACCTTAAAAACACCACGTGTCACAGACCATGAACTTTGTTTTTCTTGACACAGATGTGGACTTCCTTGGAGTCAGAGCTCCCTAACTGTAAGGCAGATCTCTAAAGGGTGAGAATTTAACTTTCAAGATGCAGTATGTTCATGGTTCTTCTGCAGGGCCCTCACGTTGGTGGCCTCATCTGCCTTCATCATGAGGAGGCCAGTTTAAGAACAAGTATCAGCATCTCATAATGAGGCCAGAGTTTGTAGGCTCAAAAGGAGGCTAATCACATGCTTCCAAGGATTTTAAAACCATTGCTCATTGCATCAGAGGCAATGTCAGCTTTTCACCTGGTGCCTGTTCAGCTCCTCTCCAGGACCTCCTCTCTGTGGGTACCAGGATGCCTTAAGTTTCTGGAAATCAGAGTGATGAGATGGGGCCAGCAATGACAGCATTTGGTTCAAGTGACTGGCTTAGAGCAATCCCAAAGGAGAGCTCCCAAGCTGTGGAAGGTGCTGATGTGAAGCTGTCAACACCAGCTCTGAAGCCCTGCTGGTGCAGAGCCTCCTGCAGAGCAGTACTGGCTGTTATGCCCATTGCCTGACAAGCCACAGTTTACAAAATATACTGAAGAATATCCTTATGGTCTTTAACACATTGGAGAGTGATTTCCTGAAGGGAATTATTAAAATGTCTGGTTCTGTATAGGAAACTCATGCACTTCAGGTCTGTAGTTTAATCTTTTCTGTTTATATGTGTGCTTTATGACTGCCTGTTGAAATACATTTCTTAACCAGGAAGAGATTTTTTAAAATTTTTACTCTTCATTTTTAATTTCTATCCTTGGCATCAGTATAACAGCTGTGGACACTTGATTCAAGGTCCCAACTATCTCACCTTTGAAAGGGCTGTCAGCAGAAGTGATTGTTGAGATCACCAGCATAGCACCAGGAGATGAGGAAATGAGCTGGAAACTTTTTGAAGGGCTTTTAATGAAATGCAGATACTCCAGGGTACTGGTACAGTGTGTTCATTTCACTATGCCATCATTTTTCAAGTTGCAGTGACTAAGCAGAAGGAGGGAATTCTGTAACAGTCACCTGAGATCAATTCTTACCACACTCTATCTGGTTTCCTTAAAAGATTGCACAGGATCCCACTGCCAAATCTGGGCTTGTTTAAATCAGTGGCAATGATCCTCTTGACTGCTGTGGGAACCAAAATGTCATAGTGGCACTGTAATACCCCTTGGCAGCTGAACCTCCCAGCCCACAGCATCAGCTCAAAGTGACAGTGAATTTTGATGAAAAACAACAAATACCTGTTAGAGACAAATTGGGGCTCTCTCAAAGGCTAATCCTTCTGGTAGTGTTTACATAAATGCTGTGGAACTGTTACCATGTTGCATCATAGCAGAATTATTTTATGAAGAAACTCTGACTCCATTTCCTGGAGATAAGGGCAGGTTATCACTGCAAAAGATGGTTAACCACGTTTGGATCCACAAGTCCTTTAAAGTATTAACATGAGTGGGTGATGTGAATTGAGGCTACAATTCTATCTAGCCAAGAGCAGAAGCAACTAAACTGAATTTAACATATGCTTTGCCTAGAATAGCTTTTTTTTTTAATCCTAAGGTATTCTAACAAACAGATGCAATTTGCTGATATGTATTATTTTTCTCATAGCTGTTTTTCTTCATAATTTGATTCCTTTTGATAAGGTCTGTCACACTAGCTCCTTCATTTCCTTATGTTTCAATTCCATGGCACATACTTTGTTGCAATTTTAATAGATTGTACAATTGTACAGAGTAAGCAGGATGGTTTTTAAGACTGAATGTGTTTAGCTGTAGATCAATAGACAGTAAAATATTAATAGAAACCACTAATCCATAAACTTTACCTTCCTGAAAGAAGCTGGCAGTACAGTTGTTGTGGATTACTTATGACCATAACTCCAAAAACTGCTAAATTTTCTAGCAGAATTATAAAGATTCTGTCCTCAAACTGTTTTTTGTTTGAATCCTCAAGAGAATATTACACAAAAGCTTTTTGATCTGACAGCAAAAATAAAATTACAAGCAATCTTAATCTAGTGTAGAATCTAGTTGACTTCAGAAAAGAGACAGCAATAAAATATTTGCCTATATTATCACTCTTACAAGGTATTTTGTAGAAATACTGACTGGAGTTTCTAGGCTGAGAGAAAGAAAAGGCTCATTTTTCACTTCCTATTAGAGAAAGAATTAATGTGGTCACTTTTTTTACACGCTTATATCTTTATCATGAACTGCTCCCACTTCTTATTGTCATGCCCAGTAAGTCTTATCTATGGGGAAAGAGCAAAGAGCAAAGGTAGACTCATTTTGGAGCGAAACCCAGAGATAAAACAGCAAGGAGGCTTCTGAAAGGCTTCACTTGATTGTAATCTAATTATAAGGATACTTAACTGTTACTACTCACAATATGACTGCTACCTTGGAAATTGTTGGTTTTATTTTGTGCTTGGGTGGGTTGGCAGTTATTGGAGCTACTTTGCCAAATAATTACTGGAAAGTCTCCAGTATCCATGGTTCTGTGATCACAACATCTACGTTGTTTGAAAACCTGTGGAAGAGCTGTGCAACAGACAGCACTGGAGTGTCCAACTGCAGGGATTTTGACTCTATGCTTGCACTGCCTGGTAGGTGACTTTGTGCAGCCTTGTTTATATTGCTTAAAAACTTATTGGCAAAAAGTAGTAAGGCTTTTGTTTTAATAATCTGGCAATACTGGAAAATAACTGGCCAAGAAGGACTTTGTGGGCTGAAGTAATAAAAATCTCTCAAGCAGCAGAATGTGTCAAGGAAAGGCTATAAACTAAGGCAAATGAAGTTGGTTGATCAAGCATTTAACAAGCATTTAAAGTGGGTTGTAATCTCTTCTCTAGCATCTCGTGGGATGTCTTAGTAGGAGACATTTGTAAACTATTTATTTATTTGGAATTATTGTATAGACCTTATTTTGCAATACTTCCTAGCTAATGTACTGTGGCTGGAGTTTTTCATGTAAGAGGAAATACTGGTTTTAGCTGAGAAGTGGTAGTGTTTTTTTGTGAGTTGAGACTGAAAATTGTAGATAATCCAAGAAATACATGATAATATGTTATACATATTATAAGTTATAGAAGAATATATGCTATAAATTAATATATCTTTAGGCTTGTCAACTAATGCCTTCTACTGTCAGTTAGTTAACTGACAGTAACTAAAGTCTATTTGGATGTGGTTTTAAATATCAAGAAATTCAGATCTGCTGGCCCCTGTCCTCTGTATCAGTCTTCATCATAATTGTGGTTGTCCTCAAATGCCCAACTAGGTGATATTCTGTGGATAATAAAGCATGTTTATAGACAGTAAAGCTATTTTTTTATTTATCCTGAATAATTCAGTATGTAGAAACTTATTTGGAATAAAAATAATGCCTTCCTTCTTGCTGAATCTGCCCTAGGAGGTGGCTAAACTAAATAGGCAGGAGGATACTCCTAATCTGAAGAATGTGTAATATAGGATTAGTGGGAATGAGGTGTTAAATTCACCTTCTCCCTCAATCTGAAGTAAAGGCTTGTTGTTGACCAGCTCTAACACTTGCATAGCAATTCTCTGAAACTGTGTTCAGTATTTAGGGAATAATCTGTTCTTTTCATCTTTCAGTCTTCTCTAACAATTGCTTTTAGAGAGTGTGCATGTGTGTGTATGAAGAGGAACATAACCCTATTTAAGCATTTTAGCCTCAGTAAGAGCAGGATCATTCCATGAGACATTGGCCTCTGCAAATCCCCTATGTCAGTGTGCACCAGCACTGCTGGGTTAGTAGCTGGACTTGATGATCTGAGAGATCTTTGCCAGCTTTAATGATTCTGTGATTTTATTTATTCTTGTAAAAACCACTCCAAGGGCTGGTTTGTAGCTTGCTGCCACTGACTCCAGGCAGCATCTTGTCATTGATGTGTTTACATGGGGTCAGTATCTGCAGATTTGGGCCATGGGCCTGCAGGACATCAGCATCTGGAGAAAAAGTGGGTTTGAAAGAACCTGGTGGGGGTCAGAAAAGAGCACCATGAGTGTTAAAGCAAACAGAACAGAAGGCAAGCAACAGCAGGGCTCCTGAGAGCTGCAGGTAACAACACAGAGTCAGCAGGAAGGAGAAAACTGGGGGCAGAATGTAAATGACTGGCACAGGCTCTGAAGTGAATTTGTGAAGATTAGCTTTGCTCTGTTGAAGAGGAGATCAGTCCTGCAGTATAGTTGAGGGGTAAAGGCAGAGGGAAGCAGAAGGGAAAACTTGCAAAACTGTGAAGATAAAACATTTTTAGAAAGGCAAGCTGAAAAAGAGAAGTCAGAAGACACTGGGTGGCAGTAACAGTTGAAAGGACAGCAGGGCAAAGCAGGAAAGAGGAAGAAAATGGGTTTGGCACCAAGGGCTCAGCAGCCAGTGGGACCTCTGAGAAACAGCCCTAGTGCTTGCAGACATGAACCAAGGCAGATTAAAAATTACCATGGTCAGTTTAGGTGTGTTTCAAATTCCTGTTTAGAAACTTAACTGAAACTGCTGCCAGGATGTCAGGGACTAAAGGGAGGGCAAAAAGGAAAAACAAGTGTCTTCATTACCTCTTATCAGAAGGTCAATGAAAATTTTCCTTGAAAGTTTCCTTACTGGCAACTGAGCTATATGAAATAGTTCTGGATTTTGCTTTATGTATGGGAAAAGACAGACTTGGTTCTTTTAAACCAATTTAGTGCTTTTGAGTTCACTATACCATTTGTCTAAATGACAAATATTTGAAGTGAGGAGCTTTTTAAATGCAATATTGAACAAGATTGAAACCACGACTGGCTAGTCCATATGGCCAGCACTGTCTGTCTAGTCACAACTAAGTCAAACATTTGATATAACTAACTGCCAAAGCATTGTAAACTCCCTTTTTTTTTTTTTTTCTTCCCCTTCTTTTCAAAGTTCCATAGGTGTTTTTTCCAATGACAGGATTTGGGGATAATTTCTTACAATTGGTGTGAACTAATAAAATGCACTGACTTTATATCTTGTTAAATAATCTAAGTTTAAAATAAAAATTTGAATTTTCTGAATTGTGAACTACAGTCCCTCAGTTAAGGCTGCTGAGGTTATGGTATTGTGGTACAGTTGTATGAAATCCCTTTCCCATTGGATTGCAAGCAAGGCTATGCTTGTGTGTCCTGGAAAGATATGGGGAATCCCATCTAACACTGCAGGAGTCTCAGGAGCTGAAAAGTGAGTTGTTGGACCCTGCTGGGTGATTGGCATGGCGAAAGATCCCAAACCTGAAAGCAGCATTGCTGAGTACTTACCTTAACAGTAACCTTAACAGTATCTTCTGCAGGCAAAAGCCTTGAACTGTTAGTGGTATTTTGAGGGGTCTTTCCACTTTTATTACTGTCTTGGAAATTTTAAAATTAGTGCTTAACAAAGCATTAACTCCTCCAATGATTTTAGCCTTTAATTCTATATACTTATCCCATGGGTGCTTATTGCTACCTTTGGTAACTCTTAAGCTGGTAGGACCAATACTCTTAAGCCACAGCAGGCTGAGTTGGAGTGTGAGAATCACTTTGCCTTCTGTCCCTCTGTCTGATTTTTGTTGTCTGGAGACAGACAGAACTAGCCCAGCAGGTTGTTGTGGAGGATGTGGAGGTGGCCAGGGAGCAAGAGCTTGAATGCTGGCATCAATGATGTGAGTGTCCAGTTGGAATCAGGTCTCACCCTTTTGACGTAGGATTAAAACTGTAGAGTCATAAAATCATTGAGGTTGGAAGAGAACTTAATCCAGTTAGCAAAGTGAGCAGTTGTGACCCTGCCAGGTTGTGACGTGTTTATCTCACAACAAAGGTGCCGAAATGCCACTCGACCTGGAGCCTGCCAAATGCAGGCTGCCATGGTAAAGGACTCCAAAGTCCCCATGTGACCTTCTTTCTTAGGTGATTAATAATCTAGTCCTGGTTTTTGTGCAATTGATACCTAGATGTGAAGACCAGGAGCTTACAGAACACAGAATTCCAGCATACCAGACTCCCTGACGTGCCCACAGCAGCTGTAACCTCTGCACAGGAGAATGTCCCAGGGAGGAGTTCTGCAGCTCTCAGACACACTCACCCCTGTTTCTTACACTGAGTTTGAAGTGCACTGCTAACTTGAGCTCCATTCTTTCCCATCTCTCCCTGGAAGCAGCAAAGCTGGCACCTTTCTCCAGTTCCTCAGTAGTGCCAGAGCCTTGCACACCTTGACTATCACCTGGATTTCAGATGTGTCCTGTGCACTCAGCTGTGCACGTGGCAGGAATTCAGAAGCACTTGTGAGTAGGGGACTTCTTCCTGCTCCTGCAAGTGACCATGTGTACCACTGGGCATTTCCACAGCAATGTAAGGGATGAGTGGCTTGCTGTAGTTCTTCAGGATTTACTAAAGACACAAGATTTACTGAGCTTGTAAAGTGTAGGCATAGTTCAGCTCCCAAATCTGTTTGACTTGAAGGCTAAACACACTTGGATTTGGAGGCTTCTCTGAGCCATGTGACAAAGTTGGACAAGATTCACTCATTACTGTACCTGTTAATTTCACTTCCTCTAATCACTTTTATTTCTTTCAGCACAAGATTAATGCAATTTCTGTATAGATCCTGATTTGTTTTCTCTTTTTCTGCTTCAGCTCACATTCAGGCATGCCGTGCCCTGATGATTACTTCCATCCTTTTGGGATTCTTAGCTGCAGTACTCACACTGCTTGGTATGAAGTGCACAAACATTGGGTTGAGTGATGAAGATGGAAAAATGAAGTTTACTGTCACAGGAGGATTTCTTTTTGTTTTAGGAGGTAATATTGAAACTGAAATGAGAGCACTATTGGTACTTTGTATGGCTTTCACAGCCAGACGAAATGAAATAAACTTATTCTTAGTTTAAATCTGTGACAGCCATTAAAGGAATCATTCACCTGTGTGCTTTTTAAACTTTTTCTGGTAGGCCTCTGCTCCATGGTGGCTATTTCTTGGTATGCTGCAATGGTTACTGCTCAGTTTTTTGACCAACTGTACGCTGGAACCAAGTAAGTGAATGTGTCTGTCATACCAAACTCCTTCGTGTGTTGGACAGCTGCACTAACCTCAACTGCTCCAGAGTTTCAGAACCTGGATGGATCCCATTATCCAGTCCTACAGGAAGGAAAAAAATGTATTCAGGGGATCTTTTCACCTCAGAGATATTGGTGGAGAGGGAGGAGAGGTCTTCCTGGAAGAGTTAGTGAATGTGAGAGGGATACCAACCCCACATCTGAGGGGGTTTTGTACTGTGTTTGCATTTTCTTCACAGACTCAATTAAGTGTGTATCTCAATGTTATGAAGAAGAAAAGGTAAAAATTCTTAATCTGCTTTGGCATTTAGACCAAAATAGGTACAAAACTCAAGTTCTGACTAGAATAAAGTACCTCAGATGTACCTGCAAGGGAAAATCGCCTGCAAAGCAGCTCGAGCTTTGTACTAGAGATGTGCAGAGAAATCTGCTGCCTGTCTTATACATGTCTATATATTAACAGCTCAACATTTGTTTGCCTTACGAGTTAAAACAAGGCAAAATCTGTAGGATTATTAGCTATGCAGTTGCATGCAAACAAGTTTTGAGGTATAAAAGCCCTTGCTCTTTGTCTGATATAAAAGTTGTCAAAACCAAATGGCAGCTTATGGCACCTTATCTAGGTGCCCTGTTTAGGAATGAGGAACAAGGGTAGAGGTGACTGTGCCTCTCCTTCAGAGAGGGGGAAAAGGAGAGGAAAACTTTGTCTGTGGAATATGAGACATCTATAATATACTTCTACCAAGTATATAAATCATAGATCAGTAAACTATAAATTGTTAGTTGCTAGGCTCATATTTGAAGTGTTTTGTAAAGTTCCCACCCAGGAATCAGTTCAGGGAAGTCAGAGGTGAAGTGCTTTGTGATAAATCAAAGTACTTTAAGCAGTTGCTTTTGTTGTTTGTCAGTTTTCCCTGTGTTTTCAATGAAGTGCTTAGAAATAAATTGTATTTGTGCAGTTACCTTTGTTGCTTTATATCCCCTTGAGAGAACTATATGAAGGGTAATAAATGGATTAGAGAGCTGAAACAACGTTGATAAGGAATTTCGGTTAGTCGGATAGTTGGTGTGTTTGCCATAGCTTTGGGGCTCATCATCAGTGCCTGTTAATCAGTCACCAGATGGTTTACATTCAGTAGCTAAAGAAATTTTTTTTTTTCATACCTCAACTTCATGTTTAAGCTATTGATTCACTGATGAATTAAGTTTGATCATTGGTAAAGCTGAACATGCAACCTGTGGGACAATTTTAAATTCACTTGCATGCCAGTGTTGATCCTCACTCTTAACAGTCTGGCAAATCTGGTTTTTCAGATTGCATTTTTTTGGTCTAACTTCAGCAAATTTGTGAAGTTGATGTCTGCTAATTCTTAGAGGAGTTTCTCCTACAGTTCTGAAGGCAAACTAAGTTCTCCTGCAGATGTCTCCTATATACTTTGCTTTGGTATGACATCTACAGCATTCTTGTCTGTAGGTGACTGGTGAGCAGAAATGATTGCAGGCACTGGGCAATGTGCAATTTTTACTCCTGGGTTTGTTTGATAATGACTCTCTGCTTCTTCCATGTTTGGAAGTACCTAAAGCAGTGGAAACCTTGTGGCTCCCACGTGCAATGAGACACAGAGAGCTGTGAACCTGTGTAAACCTCTGAATGCATCCTGTTAGCAATGAACTCCAGAGTCAGAACCTTTGCCACTTTTCAATAATTGTCTTTCCAAGTGGAAAGAAAAGACAAATCTCTGGTTCCATGGTACCTTCAATGCAGTCCAGGACACTTTTTTTGCCCTTATATTGGGTATCTCAGACCAGAGATGTACAGGTGGATTGTGAATATAGTTTTTGTCTGATCATGAAAATTTGTTTTCCTCTTTTTATGAAACTCCTGCCAAACTGTTCCAGACTCAGTTGTGTCTAGTCTTTGGGACAAATTCATTATCAATTAATTTCTTGGACTGGACTAGGGGGTTTCCTGAAAGATATAGTTTTGTACAGTAAAATAGGGAACTATTCTTTTTCAGCCTGGAACATTCATAAATGCCTTTCAGCCATACAACCACAGAGGGTGCTGAATATCCTTTAGGGTATCTAAGTTTGAAAACTAGCCCTATTCAACCAGCCACTTCTAAGTGACCTAGTGTTGTGTCCATAGAAAACTGATGTCAGCCTTCTCTCAGCATATAGAGTGTAAGATCTGAATTATTCAGTTGCACAAAATCCTTTCAGTGACACAGCCAATTAAAGGGCAAAATGAGTGCTGTGGATTGCACAGAAGATTGTCATTATTATTTATTATCAATAATTTGTTAAATATTGTTAAATTATTTATTGCTACTTATCTTTATGTTGCTTAGTACTCTCTGTACTGTTAGTAATTTGGCAGATCAGCTCTATACAAATAAGAGTTTTACTGAGCAGACACAAAGCCAGACCTGTTCTCTGTTAACTGTTCAAGTGGCTTTCAGTTAGCTGATTTCTACACAAATTAGAATTTGTTTGCATGGTTTTGTGATCCTGTTATAAGTTGTTTCCATAAATTCTTTCATGTTTCAGGTATGAACTAGGAGAAGGTCTGTACTTAGGCTGGACTGGATCTATCCTTTATATACTTGGTGGTATCCTCCTGACCTGTTCCTGCAGAGGGAAGGAAAAACAGAATTACAGGTAATCTTGGATTTGCCAGTTGCAGTAGTAGTGTCAATCACACACCACTTTGTACCTGTGCACTGTTCTGTCTCTCTCTCACCCCCTGGTATAAATATGTATAAATTACAGCCAGTGCTATGGCATGTCACAGACTGCTGATGGCAGGGGATGCTGTACCAAACACTTGTGCCTCCTAGACAGGGTGCTTGATGCATCATCATCAGCAGTCACCTTTAACTTGTATTTGGTAATTCTGGGCACTGCTGATGGTGAAAATATGCAGTGAAAGAGCAAACTGTCACCAAAAGAAATGTATATAAAGCCCCATAATGAATTATGATCCAGGTTCTCTGCAGTACTCACTGTGAGTAAAATATTCAAACACTGTTCAGTCTGCAGAAAGTGTAAAGGCATTTCCCAAAGCACATGGAATTGATCACTAGAAACATGGCTCTTTTCTTGTTCTTTATAGAAGTGTCTTGTTGCACATCAGATCAGGAAAGGTGAGATTTCTGGCCTCAATATTTAACCTTCCCTCCTTTCTTGTTTCAGTCTTAAATTTTGACACATACAGAAGGCCTCTTTTTGAAGGAGAGGGATGAAAGAGGCAGAAATAGCAGAGGTCCATGTCTACCAGAACTCAAATAGCTTGGAGGTTGTACTAGCTGAGCTTGACAGGGTTATAATATGCAAGGAAGAAGCATATTCACTGTTGGTCTATTTAATCTTAGGAAAATTATATCAAAATGTAGTAAGTGAGTGTTCCTTTGGTACTCTATTGCCTAATCTGAAACCATTTCAATTTTATGGTAATCTTTCATCAGCCACATTGGACTTTAGATCTTGCTCACCTTACTTTGTTACAAAGTACCAAATGTCCTGAAATGTCCTGAAAATCAGGTAAAACAGATCTATGAAAGAAGTTCAACATGATGAATGACAGCTGAAGGGATAGGGTGAAGGTACCACTGTTTTCTTCCTTTGTCATCTTGATTCCTGTATTAAAACCTACAGCTTGTACAAGGTGCTGAGGGCTTCTGCTTTAGGGCCTTGGCTGAATGCCTGGAGGAAGAGCACATGGGAGTTAGGAACCCAGAGTGTGGCTGAGGTGTGAGAGATGCTGTGCAGGCCATCAGGGACCCCATCCATTCCCCCTTAGCTACCAGAACAATGAGAGCAGGAGGCCTCTAATTTCTGCCCTGTTGTGAAGAATGTGCTATGGGTGGGTTGGATCCAAAGCTGAGTAACTTCTAAGTGTCTGAACCATGGGCATGTGTCTGATACCTATTATTTTGTATGTTTTTTCCTTGCTTTACAGTCCCAAGAAGTATGCATATTCAGCAGCCCAGGCACCTTCTCAGCCACACATGTACCCCAGGAACTCTGAGACAGTCATAAGCAACAAGGAGTATGTCTGAGCTTCCACCCTGCAGCACCTGTAGTGTTAGTGACTTATGGACTCCAATAAAGAAGTGAACTACTTCTTTATTCTGGTTCCAAGTTGCAATCCTATGCCTTAGTTTGGAGCAGTACCAGGAGGAGGTCTGGCTTTCAATGTAAATAGCAATGGTTTTCAGATGGAAATAGCTTTCTACAGAAGATGCTGTGATGTGAAATCCTGTGGCATGAAGGTTTTCTGCATGCTGAGAAGCCTGGTAAAATTTAACCATAGGGCAGTATATGCTGACACTGGAGAGCAATGGTTCCTATTTCAGCTGACTCAAACATGTGGAACTGATAGCTGTATCTGACTGCAAGTTCATATGCCTCACAGTTAGAAATGTGTTTTGTTTTCATTAATGTTTAGCTTCCTTCTTTTGTTCAGCAGCTTAAGCTTTTGACAAGAAATAAACTTTGTTCCACAGACAGATTTTTTGACAAGTGGAATTCTCTAAGAAGGATCTTATGCTATACTGAAATTCTTATTATATATGATAGTCAAGGTTTATAAAGGCTACAAAAATGTTTCTAGCAAATCTGCTTGAATTACCTTCAAATCTGCAGATGTGCAACAAATTTCTTGTTGGCTGTAATGCAGATACAGAAGATAAACAATACAGAGTGAACAAAACACAGCTGGGAGTGGAGAAAGCATCTGGTGTGGAAATGCCTTGTGGTAACTAAGAAAATGATAGCCTGAGATTTTTATTTTTATTTCTATGGTTTTAGCTTTAAAAATAACACTACTTTAACTTTGAGCAGTCTTTAACTTTGGGAACTTGTACTGCATCTGAATTGTCTAATTCATGTAATTCCCCAGTGGTTTGATTTTCTGTCATTGTTCCATCATTAGAATTCCTGCCTTGAACAACTCCACTGCTGGGAGCATATGTTTGCCTTGTGTGAGCACTTAGGCAGATGGCAGTGAGCTAACTTTACTTCTTACTTATGCTTTCAGCAAGGTGGAATGGAATTTCACCCTGCAGGTTCTTGGGTTCCATAACTTGTCCCTTTTAAATGACAATGTGTCCATGCAGTTTGACAAAACTCTGTTTTGAATGGCTGATGATAAACACATAGCAGTCTGATCTGCCCCGTGTTCTGAAGTCTCATGCCCAATAGATCATTTCAGAGGGCAACCTGTGAGCAGCCTCAGCAGAAATGATTTAGCCATACTGCTTGCATGCAGGAACAGCTGACTTGTACACTGACACATTAAGGCATGAACTGGGCCCTGTTAGACTGAGTAAGTAAAGCTAAAAGGAGTGGTGATTGCTGCTAGATTGCCAGTGTCATCTTCTTCCCTGCACTATCATCTGCAGTTCTTGAAATAATTCCTTTGGTGTTTTAGAGAACAATTTCAAAAGCTGAAAAGGCACTTAGCCTGCATGATGGGAGCAGAACTCCTTACCATCACCTGTATATTCTGTCCTCTGGATTTTTAGGTAATTTTGAAGGTGCTTTGTTCTAGTTGAACATAAGGAAATTGCAGAGACAAAGCATCAACCACTGTCGGTTTCCCACCAAAGGCTGTGTCAGCTCATTAACATGAATAATGATCCAGTAGGTGAGAGAGAAATTCAGAACTTCCTTGGTCTGGCATCACTGGGAAGTTTAATTAAAAAACAGGAATAAAATCCCTGTGTGGTAACTCCTTCCTTTGTTCATACATCGTATCCATACTCAGTGTCATTCAGGGGGAAATAACTGGTGAAGATTCCAGGCCTTTCTCTGTTTGTTTACAGTCCTTCCAACCATTTTCTGTTTCTGCTCTTATTCCCTGCTTATCTGCCCTCTTTCCATGCATTACCAACAGAAATGCTCTGAAGGAATTTAATGAACCATCATCTCAGTTATGGGGGTAAAATGTTTTATGTACAGGTGATTTAGGAAGTGATTTTTTCCTTTTTTTTTAACTCTGTAGCAAGTCACTTCACTTTCTTTAAAGGATCTTCACACATTGCTATTTTTAAGTCCTTTGCTCGGCGGAGCAGAGTGCTTTGGTATCTGCAATTCTTCTTCATATCTCTGCAGCTGGGACCAAAATCCTGCATTCGGCTCTGCTACGGGTCTGGCAGCTTTCACAGCCTAGAGAACAGGAGAGACACAGTAGAGGCAAGGTATCCTGCATTTGTGGGAGTCATGCAAATGAATTTTGAACTTAAAATTTAGAGAAGCTTTACTTTGGTTTTGATTTGGCTACAGAGTAACAAACAGCTATTTTGGTGAGCTGACTTCACTGTGTGCTTACTGGGAACTGCCAGGTGGGCCTGGTTCCAGAATGGATTCATGGCCAGACACCAGACAGAGCTGTTGATCTGCTGGAAATGGGAAAGTCTCCCACCAAGTGCAGTGACACTGCTCATGTTTAAGGTGATAGTGTGAAACTTGGTCACTCTGCACTCAGTCCAAATTAAGCAAATTGAGTATCTAAAGTGATACCCCTGACAAATGGGTGAAGACAAAACCCACAGAGCACAAGTAGTTTGTATTGGATGGGCTTCCTAGGAAAGCTGACACATCATTGCTCATAGCAACAATAGCTGTGGCTGAGAGCTGGCAGGTCCTGGGCTCTCTGCAGGCCTGGCTGGATGTTCCTTGCTGTGAGGAGCTGTCACACAGGAGCAAACCCTGCATAACAATTCCTGCACCCACTTACTTTGTCTTCACTTACCGTGACTGTGCAAATGATAGAGAAAATGCTCACTAAGCAACCGGCTTGGTATGTTTGCTACCTGTAGAGACCTCACACTGAAAACTTACGAGACCAAGCTGGGCATGAAAAAACTTACAGGGGATCGTTTATTGAAATGTTGAATCGCTGTATAACTGCAGGAGGAAGCACCAAAATAATTCTACAAGAAATCATCATTACTCATAAGAAGCATTTCGTTTCTTCCCCAAAAGAGCTGTAAATACGAATCTGGACGTCAGCACATTACCTCAAAGGCGTCCTTGAGCGGGAGCTGCCGGTGTCTCATGAGATAAGCGGTGCAGATGGCAGCGGAGCGGCTGCGGCCGTTCTTGCAGTACACCAGGCAGCGGCCCCCGGCCCGCACGGCCTCCTCGATGGCGGCGCCGCAGGGCTCGAAGTACCGGGCCAGGTCCTCGGCCGGGTCATCGAACACGGGCACGCGGATGCCGCGGACGGTCCGCAGCGCGGGGAAGGGCTGCAGCCGGGTGACATTGACGCAGAAGGTGACCCCCTCCCCCGCCAGCAGCTCCTCGTCGCACGCTGCCCTGGCCGTGCCCAGCAGCAGCGAGGCCGTGACCGGGCAGAGCTGCAGCATCGGCGGGCACGGGGCACCCACCGGCCCCGGCGGCGGCGCGGGGCTCCCGGTGCCGGCGCGGCCACCCGCGCTCTGCTGGTGCGTTGCGCTAACCTTACCCTTCTATATTTATCCCTCCCTGCCTGCGGCCGCCTAGAGGCTCCAGGCAGGTCCTAGTGCCGGCCGCATCCCCAGAGCTGCGCTTAGAAAGCTGAAAGCACTTTCGGAGCCACGGCTCACTTGTAAAAGCAGTGGATTTGTACAGTCGCTACCCCAGAGCAGCCACTTACCGGCCGTGTTCTGCACGGGAATGCTGCTGCTGCTGCTGCTGCTGCGGGCGGTGCTGTTGGTGCAATGATGCAATGCTGAAGTTGTGTCAGGGTGGGTTTAGGCTGGATATTAGAAAAAGGTTCTTCACCCAGAGAAGATCCAGTTGGGCACTGGAACAGGCTCCTCGGGGCAGTGGGCACAGCACCAAGCCTGAGAGAGCTCAGGGAGTGTTTGAACAGTACTCTTGGGCACATGGTGAGACTCTTGGGGATGTTCTGTGCAGCACCAGGACTTGGACTCCATGATCCTTGTGGGCTTGGCCCTTCCAACTCAGCATATTCTGTGATTGATTCTGTGATTTTCCTGAGCATCTCGGTGCCCCTTTCCTACAACAAAAGCGTCTTTTGAGTGCCCAGAAAATGATTTACTAGGCTGGCCAGATAGCATAGTGCTAATCTTTCTGGACTCCAGTAGAATTGCTGGTGTGCTGCCAGGGCAGAGAGCATCTTGCACCTGAGTGTGCTGCCATGGGTTTGAACTGCACAGGATGGGTGGGGATGGGCCAAGCCCAGCCAGGTGAAGGTCACCTTGGCCAGTGTGGGCAATGCTGCAGGGCTGGCCACAGGTGCCAGCTGCTTCCTGGAGGCTGAGCTGCTTCAACCCTTTGCTTTCAGGCCAAACAGGAGCATTTGACTGATATTTGCTGCTGACAGAAAAATGAACCTGAACTGTTGCAGCAGCTGAGCACAGACTGGTGTGAAGTGCAATGCCACCCATTCAGGAATGAGAAGTGAGGTACAGGGATGAGCTTTTATTTGACCATGGAGGGAGGAAAACTGGACCTGCCACACACCTGCCATCACTTGTGTCAACAGCAGCCTGTCAGTGAGAAGTTGGCTCTGGAGCCAAAGGAGTTGGCTCTCTCACATAAGCACAAGAGCATGCTGTCCCCTCCTGTTACCCAGCACATGAAGGCTGATTCAGCTGCCCCCTTGCTTCCTGTGCTCAGGGCATGGCTGCTGCAGGGCCCCAGGAGCCTCGGTTCAGGCTGGAAAGGAGAAAGCTCAACAGGAGACCCCTGATGCTGCCCACCCCAGCAGCATGGGGAGAGCTCCTGGATTCCTCCACAGCCACTCTTTCCAGGGATATTGGACCTTCCCTGGCAGTGACTCTTGCCCAACTTAGCATTTCCATGGCACACCCCTTATTGCCAGGCCATGATGGGGGCATTCAGGCAAGGAGCCTCTCTGCAATCACTGCCATGGACTCCCCTGTGGGACAGGCACAAGTCAATGCCCCACACTGTGGGAAAGAGCTGCTGCCCTGCCTTCCTCTGGCAGAGGCTCACCCTCCTGCCTGCACTCAGCAGTGAGCTTTCTTGGGCCCTTGCAGAGTCCCTGGGTGGTGCTTTATGGGCACACTCCAGTTCATACCAAAACCATGATCTTGATTTCACTTGGCATCACACTTGCTGTGCCATGAACCCTCACTGATCTGTGTGGGTGGCAGTAGCCCATCAGATGGCTCTGGGATCCCCCAGACAAGCCTGGTGGGAGTTACTGGTTTACCAGTGCCTGCAGCTCATCCCAGCACTGATCCAGGTGTGTTACCCAGGTGACACCATCTCAGGGCACCTTTCTTGTCACTTTTGCTCCACTGGGGCTGCACCTGAGCTCCCTCTCTCTGAGGCTGTGGGTGTTTTTTGGCTGCCTGCCTGCAGCTGACTTCAGAATGGTCATCCATGCCAGAAAGGTGGGCCCTTCCTCCCAGCCCTCCCTGCACCGTGTCTCTGTGCAGAGCAGGAGGTGGGAACAGGGCAGTTGTCACCACACACAGAGTAATTTATAAGTTAAACACAAATGCCATCTTCTGGCAGTGAAGCCAGTTGCTGCCTCTGTAAGAAGATGTTGAACTGCAGGGTAAGAGCCTCACCCCTCGTTAGAAAGGGTTTGATGCCTCAGTCCAGATTTTGCTGGGGTGTTCCTGGTTGTGGTGGCACTGCCAGTCAGGGTACAGTGCCAGCAGCCCCAGTCACCATGGCTGGCTCCTGTCCCCTGCCATGCACCTGCAAAGTGCCTGGCCCCACTGCCTTGGTGAGCTCCCAGGCTGTGCTGGGCTGCTCCTGGAGCCCTTGGAGCCTTCCATGCCTGGGGAAGCAGTGATGTGAAGCTGCAGCCGAGGGGGAGCTGGGCTTGTACCACAGCCTCCACCTCCTGCAAGCTCTCAGCAGTGCACATGCAAACATGTTCAGTGACATTATGGACTGCAGAAATGCTTTCAGACACCTTGAGTAAACACCAAGCTGTAAGAGGCTGTTATTTCAGACCATAATTAGACACTGAGGAGGCAAAGCAGGCAACTGGTGTGGACCAAGGAGAAGACCAATATTTTTGGACTTGTCTGTATTTATATAAATGCGTGGATGTGGTGCAAATAGCTGTAGCTGCAGGAGAGGAACCTAAATAAATACCTACTCACTCAAGGGTATCAGTCAGTTTATTAAATGTAGCTGATATTTGCCTCCAGGCAGAAGGATACACTTTTAGTAGTTCTCAGTTACCAAGTCTCTCATACATTTCATGAGCAGCTTCCAACACCTCACCTTGACAGCTGCATTCACCCTCTTCTGGAAGTGGATGGAGCTGAAGCACAAACCTTTCTGCTGCACCAGTCCAGTCTCAGGCACGTGCTGGAGATCACACATCCCTCTTGCTGCTCTGCTTGCTGTGAGATGTCCAACAGCTGCACTGGTGCAAAGCCATGGTCTGTAATTGCCACAACACCTTGTAATGACCAATACCAAGGGCATTTCTGATTTTATGCCATGACTTTCTGTGCTTCTAGATGAGAAAGAGACAACTTAGGATCCTCACTGTAGTGGCTGAAGGCAGGCTCACCTTGTTCCCACAAACACACATCCACAGAACCCAGCAGCTGCTCCTCGGAATGGTGCAGGAATGCAGGCAAATCCCTGCTGCCAACACTGCCATCAGCCCATGACAAACCTGGGCCTGAACATGGTTTCCTTCCTCAGGGCTCCTGACCTGGCCTTTATCTGTGCCTTAACAAGTGAAAATAAAGAAAAAGCCAGACTTGGCTTAAATGGAGAAGAAATAATTGCCCTGTAAATACAGATTTGTCTCCAGCCTTTTTATTTATACAAGGATTCAAAGAACATATTTCAACTTTAGATAAACAGTGCAAGAGAGTTACAAGTACCTTGGTAACAGAAAGAAATAGATAACTGTCCAGCTATGCTGATAAGTGAAATAATTCTTACTCCTGCAGATAGAAATGCATCTGTTTAAAGCAAAGGTGGACTTTAGATATTCTGCTATACCTTAGCCCCTACCAAGCCCACCAGAAAACAACAGGCAGCTTGTCATCTGTAAATGAGAAGTAGCTGTGCTCTCAAAGCCTTTGGAGACCCTCACCATTGTTTAAAACATACACATTATGGCACAAAGAGCAGGCTGAAAGACAGAGACACTTGGAAATCCACCATTTATGGTTCTCCCCTTCCCAGGGATTGGGCCTTTGTAAATATTTTTTCCTACACCACAAGCCCCTCCATACACCTGTCAAGTATGAGGCCTTTTCACACCAGAACATGATGGATTTCACCATCCTGATAGCATGGAAGCTGATGTTTCTCCCCAGCCAGCCCAGTTCCTCAGAGATCCCCTCATGCAGCCAGCCCAGAGCAGCCATGGGGAGGTGTCACAGTGTTTTCCAGCAGGCAGCAGCCCAGGAAATGTCATTTATAAGCACTGAAAGGCCCCAGGTTCTGCACCAGCCCAACCACAGGCTCGGGACTTGTCTGGACCTGGGTTGATTTCAGCTTGTTCAGCCACAGCAGTGGTAGTTTAGTCAGCAGAAATTTCAGTTTGCTTTAGTTTAGAGTTGATATCCTGGGGGCTTTTGGCCGTTTCAGCTCCTGGGGAAGGAGGCACAGCCAAACAACCCCAGGGCACTTAATGGAGGCAGCTGGGGAAACACCTGCAGGGCAAGGGAGAGCAGAAAAACTGAGGGGAGCAACAAAAAGCAGCAGTGCAGGCTGACCATGGGCAGACATGAACCCCAGAGGGCACAGAGGGGCCGAGCCCCTGCACTGCCCACCTCAGGCTGCTCTCCTGGCCCACCCTGGCCTGGCCTCTGCAAGGTGGCAGGAGGGATCTGCAAGTGGGAGCTCAACCCCAGCCCAGAGGTGAAGGCTTCAGGAAGGGTTTCCCCTGCATAACAGATTTTACTGTTTCTTCGAGGCTTTGCCTTATTAATTTGCACTATCAGGTTTTTATCTTGTAACAGAACCACTACCTGGGGCTATTAAATTGTTAAAATACTAACTGGATAATCAGTAAATTCCTGGCTTCTCATTTAAGATGCGAAGGGGCCCATAAGAAGCTTTGGAGGAAACAGGCAGACAGCAAAAAGTAATTGCACAGAAATGGAAGTGACTTTCAAGCTCCCATTCTGCAAAGCAAACCATTGACCTCAGCATCCATGTGTTAAAACCCCAACCCAGCTGTGTTTTGTTGAGGATACAATGTTTTAATTCTTCCTCCCTCCCCCAGCTCTTTTTTTTCCCTTTGGATGTAAAACTTCTGCAGAATTGGTTGTGGGGATTGTTGAAGGTTAAATTTATATTTGCAATTCTGATTTAAAAAGTTAAAAAGAAAAGATAGGAACTCTTTAGAGCAGTAAAAATGATGTGAGTTTGCCATATGTCTAGCAGTAAATAAATCTAGACA